TCCGCTCGACAAAGTCAACAGCGGAGCTAAAAAACAATTATGTGTGATGTTTTTCATATCAAGTTTGAATAAAGCTGACCCAAGTATGTCTGAGAAGTCTTTGATAACATGTTTTTTGGGGTGTTTTTTTGTTTTTTTCTCAATCAGTCAAAGAAAAGTAAAAAATAAATGAATGGGGATAATATGAAATATTACAGCAATGTGATCTCATCTGAAAAAAAGACAACAATGCATTCTGGGTAATATAATACTTACTTGGTTTCCTCTGAATTTTGGTGACAAAGACCAGAAATATGTATCCGGTGGTAGACTAGAAAACTCTGAGTAAATGATTTCATTGTTATCTGGGTTCATAGTAAATCCTGTTGATATCGTCTGAGTTCTTGCACGGTTCTGCAGCACTATATTTTTGTTGTTGGTTAGAGAGTCAAACCTGACAGCAGTCTATGAAAATAATAAGGTCATATGTAAATACTGACCTCAGGTCAACATTCTTGTGTAAATACTAACCTCAAGTCAACTTTCTCGTGTAAATGCTGACCTCAAGTCAACTTTCTTGTGTGAATTCTGACCTCAGGTCACCTTTCTTGTGTGAATGCTGACCTCATGTCAACTTTCTTATGTAAATACTAACCTCAGGTCTGTTTTATATGTAAATACTAACCACAGGTCAACTTTCTTGTGTAAATTCTGACTTCAGGTCAACTCTCTTGTGTGAATGCTGACCTCAGGTTAACTTTCATGCATGAATGCTGACCTCAGGTCAATTTTCTCATGCAAATGCTGACATCAGGTTAACTTTCTCGTGTGAATGCTGACCCCAAGTCAACTTTCTTGTGTGGATTCTGACATCAGGCCAATTTTCTTGTATGAATGCTGACCTTGGGTCAACTTTCTTGTGTAAATGCTGACCTCAGGTCAGCTCTATTGAGTGAATGCTGACATCAGGTCAATTTTCTTGTGTGAATGCTGACCTCAGGTCAACTTTTGTGTATGGATGCTGACATCCGGTAAACTCTCTTGTGTGGATGCTGCCCTCAGGTTGATGCTGACCCCAGGTCAACTTTCTAGTATGGATGCTGCTCTCAGGTAAACTTTCTTGTATGCATGCTGACTTTGGTTCAACTTTCTTGTGTGGATGCTGACATCGGGTCAACTTTCTTGTGTGGATGCTGACATCAGGTCAACTCTTTGTGTGAATGCTGACCTCAGGTCAACTTTCATGCATGAATGCTGACATCAGGTCAATTTTCTCATGCAAATGCTGACATCAGGTCAATTTTCTCGTGTGAATGCTGACCCCAGGTCAACTTTCTTGTGTGGATTCTGACATCAGGTCAACTTTCTTGTGTGAATGCTGACCTTGGGCCAACTTTCTTGTGTAAATGCCGACCTCAGGTCAGCTCTATTAAGTGAATGCTGACATCAGGTCAACTATCTTGTGTGAATGCTGACCTCAGGTCAAATTTCTCATGTGAATGCTGACCCCATGTCAATTTTCCCTGGTGAATGCTGACATTAGGTCAATTTTCTCATGTGAATGCTGACCTCAGGTCAACTTTTGTGTGTGGATTCTGACATCAGGTAAACTTTCTAGTATGGATGCTGCTCTCAGGTCAACTTTCTTGTATGCATGCTGACTTTGGTTCAACTTTCTTGTGTGGATGCTGACATCGGGTCAACTTTCTTGTGTGGATGCTGACCTCAGGTCGACAAATTGAAGCAGATTGGAGTAATACACTTTAAATTACTTGTATATATCAGTAAATCATTTTCGCATACAAATTTGTTTTACATTATAAATTATTATTACAGTAAAACCAAAATCGACCCCTGGATAAATCGACCTACTGTCAGAACTGACCGATTTATGTAGCCCCGTAATTTCTCCATAGACATCTAAGTTAAAGTAACCTGTGAAATTCAACCAACGTCTACTCCAAACATTGACCACATTGATTGGTACTAAGTCCAATATTTACACTGAATACTTCAACCAGTAATCTGTCCAGTAATACGGTCTGCCCAACCTAAAACGTATGCATCGTGTTCAATTTACCGTGAATGTCACAGAAATAATACCAAATCTTACACAAGTAATGAATAGCTCTTTCTGCAGTACGTCCCATGTAAAACAATGGCAAATGATGAGTTTTTCACACCACACACCCACAGGGTGTCTGGACAGTATATTGACCCCGAATATGACCAAATGGTCTTCATTATTACCGCTTCAATGAGCAAAACACAGTAAGTTTTCTTCTTTTCATAACAATGCTGATAATTTTGTGCTTTCGAATGCAAATTAAAACACTGTGTTTTTTTTGGTAAATATCACATGAGGTCCGACTTTTAGTCATTCTGTTTTATGTAGTGATCAATATGATCCAAGTCTCATACAATTGCGCTCGCTGATAGACTGCCACTAACATTAGCATGAGTCAACCACCACAGAAACGCCACTGAGTTGAACTCACTAATGCTGATAAAGTCAAAATCATCAAAGAATTACAGTCAACAAGTCTCACTCAAAAATATGGAATCGACAAAAACTACGGTAACAGACATCATCAAGAAAAAAGCTGACAACATGAAGCAATTTGAAATGAACATCAAAGCATCCAGACAACGCCTCAAATTTGAAAACATTGACAGTTTGCTTTGGACATAGGTTCAGCAGGCAAGGGAAAAAAAACATTCCAATATCTGCCCCAATGTTGGAAGAGAAAGCAATGTCATTCGCTGCCGATCTCAGTGTGCCAGATTTCAAAGCTTTGAATAATTGGCTTGAAAGTTGAAGGGGGGCACTACTCGATAAAATCATTCAAAGTCAGCGGGGAAGGTGCCGATGTCAACACAAGTGTTGTTGAAGATTTTCAGCAACGAATTGACAAGTTATGTGATGGCTATAGTCCCTAGGATATTTTTAACACTGACGAGACTGGCGTTTATTTTAGAGCATTACCGGACAAAACACTGGAAGAACAAATCATTGAAAATGACACAGTCCCCGTTAAATTTTTGAAAGTTCTCTTTGTGCTCGTCATATTAAAGTGGAGGGGTTGTCGCGAGCATGTCCTTGAAAATTGAATCCCAAATGGCGTACACAACATATTGTTTATTTACATCAAATTCGAACATGTGTTGTGTGGCGACCCCTTCGGTTTAAGACATAGCAAAGAAAAACATAGATCACAAGTGAAAGCATGTCCAAGTTATCACATTTTAAACAAACAAGATGGCCGCCAGTTGGCCAAATTTGATCAAATTGCACATTGAATTGACATGTACATGTATCCATTTATGAC